AGATAAGGAGACCAAGAAGTGGCGGCCCTCGGTATGGTCGCAGTCTCCTTTCGATGTATAGAAGTGGGTTGACCTCGTATTCACAACTTGGTCTTGTTGTCAGGGCCACTTAGTTGAACGCAGCTTGTCCGAACTTTTCTTTTATGGTAGTTACCATAATTCCCAGCCTCAGACCGTGGAATTAGTACATTCTGGGAAGTTTCTATGGCATCGTCAGTGACTCTTGGCATTCTCACAACCAAGAATTGACAAAGAAGATGAGGCCAAGAGGAATCTGTCGTTGTCTTTTGATGGAATCTGCCTTCTAATTATACACCTTCACTCAAAATTTAAGTCAGCTCAGCAAATACGCATTAAAGACTTATTTTTTCGAGACTTCCAGCAGATCATATAAATGAGATTTAATCATCATATTTAGCTTAAAAGGCTGGTAGTTTAAGTTTCCCACAATCATATGGGCATGCCTCGTGCTTCCATAGAAGTTCACGCAGTCCTGCTTCCCTAAGGCTACTTTTATTCAGGCAGGAGTGGACTGCACTTTCGACTTTGCCTGATCCGGTCTCATCTGTACCCCCAGCGGGATTCGAGCCCGTTGCGTAAGTGGAGCGTACAATCCCGACCCTGCCTCGTCAGCGTTCGAGCCCTGTTGTGGGTGTTGATGGGACCAGCTCAGGCGAGGTCGAACGTGCAGTCCACTCCCGCCTGAATGAGAATGCCTGTTAAGAGGCAAGGCTGTGAAATGAGGTGGAAATGTAAGGTCTAGCCATCTGATTGTGGGCAAATTCAACGACCATTTCTGCATTAACTTGAGGAAATAGAGTGCTCTGTTCACATGAGCCCTGCCTTCAGTGTGAGTTAACTTTGTTTCTGCTGCTCGATTGCCGGTACGCATCTGCACATGCTTTGGCCTGTCGTGTGCATCACCAAAGTGTGTTCAATTCGCCCTTTAGCCCACACGTCCACAGTTCGAATCTCATCAAATGTGCGGGTTAGATGCCATGCCGCTAGCACAAGTACAGCTCACCCAGAATGAGATGAAGTGAGACTCACCAGAAAGATACGGCAGACGCTCATAATGACGTAATCACTCTTCCATTGAGGCGAATGACATGGTTCATGTGTCTGATCATTTATTAGCTCTAAATGAAGTCATGTGTGTGATTGCATGTTTGCTAGAGATGTGTCTCTAGCTGTGTTTACCGACTGAACAAATGTTATAATCCGCTTGACCATAGGCTTTTAGTTAGCAAATAACTATGTGTATATATACATGGATAGATAGATTATACAATATAGAAAGTAGTAGCATTCGAGTAATCTAATCACTCGCTTTATCTTCATTTCTAGGCAGAAGCTATTGGCAATCAGCCGAATGCGCTACCGACTCGACGGTTTGAATAGCCTTAACTACACACTCGTGTCAATGCGTCTGTGCCCGGAACTAGTCCCTTCGAGGGCTCTTAACGAGGTCTTACTTGCAAAGTCCCCAGCAGATGAAATGACAATTGGAAATGGAATGGCAGGCGGTGCCGTCACGATGGCAAGAGAGACTGGACTCGAGCCTTTTGGTGGAACGGCTAAGCAGAATGTGCACAGCAACCGGACAGTTGAGCCAACCAAAGTCCGGCTTGTCGCAGAGACAACAGAACTGGGCGTGCGACATGCAACTTTGGCTGTAAATAAGCGAAATTCAGTCTCGAGAATGGCCTCTTTTAAAGCTTCGCTACAAGAAAGGAGCATTCTTCGGACGCATCACCATCAAGAGAATTCGAGCCTCCTTCAGACAGTTAATCAACCAGCTCAGCTGAATGAGAGTGTGAAAAAAGAGGCTCATTTCGGTCGCCACAACGACGAAGAGTGGTGCGCTCGTCTAATGCTATCCGGAGAAGACGGTAAGCAGACCAAAGAGAGAGAGGCAGAGAAGAGACAAACAATCAGGCGGCCTCGTGTTCTTCATCTGGTGGTACGGCCAATCCGCGAAAAGAGTCCTGGCGCCAGGAGTAACCGGAAACTTGGTGAGTGAGTGAGTTCTGGCAACAACATCCGAAAGGGAATGGCTGCAAAGTGAGCAGGACGAAAAATATCAAGCCGAAGTATGAGTTGGTGGGTATTCTTCACTGGAAAAAGGTCTGCGCGAGCATATTACAAGTGGGCAGTGAAGAGAAACAACTCGATAAGTAGACGTCTCGTGCTACATGCAACTCTATTCTCTCTTCGGTAGAGTCTTTTATCATTCAAATTTATTTTTAAAAAATAAACCTTATTTGCATTTCACACCTTGTTTTGTTGCCAACGAAAGTTGTCTTTCGAAATCCTTGCCACACAAGGGTGCAAGCGTATTCAATTTCTGAAATAAAGTAAATATATACGTATGGACTCTTAGAGCTTCCCAACATTAACATTAAAAGACAAGAATCTGAAAATAAATGTGTACATTTTTTCGTAATCGAGTACGTTGTCGAGACTACCAGTAAACCAGACTTGTGAGTTGTGTTCAGCCCATTTCGTTTAGGGTGATGAACAACTGGTGCTTGCATTTCTCCACGCTGATATGGGTAGACCTTGCGTTTGTTATTTAATTTCGCATAGCCTTGCTTTCCCAAAAGGCGTTCTTCTCCGGGCTGAAGTGGACTGCAGTGTCGACGTCGCACAGGCTTTATCAACACCCCCCAGCGGGAATCGAACCGTGACAGTGACACGTTAACCACTCAGCCACATTGCCACGAGTGCCTCTGGGTCACCCGGACAGATGCGTAGTTCAAGGAATGTCAGACATTTTCCATATCACACTCTGTGTTGTTAGTGTCGATGAAGCAAATTCATATTTGCCATAGCAGTCGATGATATTACTTTTTTCGTAAATGAGTACGATTCATATGTCGGATTTACCGGTAGTTTTCCGTACCTACTTATTTATGTAAAAAGTAGTGTCATCGATTGATATAGTAAATACGAGTTTGCTTCATCGACAATCCCAACACAGAATATGATATGGAAATTGCTTGGCATTTGCTGAAATTCACATCTTCCCTGCGACCCAAGGGCGCTCGTGGCAATGAGACGTAGGGTTTAACGTGTCGACCTTACAGGCTGCAGTGTCATGCTCCGACTATGCTGGAGGTGTTGATAAGACCGATGCGAGGTCGAAACTGCAGTCCACTCCAGTCGGGATGAGAACATCTCTTGGGAAAGCAAGGCTATGTGAAATTGAATGGAAAACATCAG